GAATGTAACAAATCAAAGTTAAAAAAAAACAAAACCCTGCACTTCAGGATATAATTATTTGTCAATTGTCTTCTTAAGAGAAGCAATAATTATTTTCAGCAATTATCTTCTTGCCACAAGAAAGCCTTTGAAAACTGCAGTTTTTGAAGACTGTACAATTTGACACTTATTTTGTAAAAAACAAAAAAAAAAAGACCTGTTGGTATTTTTGTACAGAAAACAGCAGTTCCTGTTCAGGAAATAATATTTTCTGCACAGAAAAAAAATCAGCACCAAAACACTATTTTCTAAACAGAAACTGTTTTTTATTAGGTAATAAAAAAAAACCTTAAAAAAAACACATGCAAAATTTGTGGGGAATAACTCCCTAACTGTGAAGATTCTCATCAGTCTATAATTCTTGTCAAGGTTGCCCAGAACTTGAAAAATAGATTTAACTGGTTTTTTAAAAAGTATTTTTAAATCTCTTTCTCATCCCATCAATTTTGGAGATTTATGGAGTATGTTTTCTTTCATGACTTGCTTCCTCTAGCAATATTATGCATTTTTAGTATCTGTAGAGGGAGGAAAAATCAAGTTCCATTTTATGAGGGGCAGTTGCCCCCCCCCCCCCACACACACACACACTGCTTTATGTAAGAGGAAAAGAGCCATCCCCATTATTACCAGCTTCTCTCCAGCTCACTTTGCCTCCTTCCCAACAACTACTCCTGCTATCAGCTCACCCCATCTTGGGGTTTATCACATGAGCCCCATTCTCAGTAAAATCGCACTAGTGAGGAGAAACACATACATAGTGGTTTTGAAGCATTCCCTCTCATACACCCTTGCAATTGTGTAAATGGGGCCTCACACACTCTTCCACACTCCTCCCTAACCCTGCCTTCCTGCCCAGTGCCCTTCCTTGCATGCCTGTCAGGATTTAATTTGGTCTTTTTAAAACACACACACATACACACACACACACACACACACAGTTACAGAGGTATGCTAATATGATTTTTTAAAAGTACTCACTAATTAATTAAAAGAAGGGAGAGCCTGTCTGGGAATAGCAAGAGGGAAGGGAACAGGGGGAGAAGAGGAGATACTGGTACCGCATAAGTGCCCAGTACTGGAATTGCCAAGCGAAGAACATATCACAGCTGGGGACTAATGGTAAAACAGTGTGTTTGGGGACTTATTGATGAGTTTTTCCATCAATGACAAAATGTACTGTTACCACACTCAGAGGGCAAGGCAGCAATGGATGAAGACAGCATCATGCGGTGAGTAATCCAAAGACATTATTTTCACACTTTTAAAATGGTTTTAAAGCTGCATGCAATAAATTCCCTTGTTTCAATTCCATTGTCTCCTATTCATTCTTTTGCAGCAATGGTGGCACCACTGCATATACCTGCCTGCTCACCTGCCTTCTGCTTAATAAATAAATGAATAAAATGTTTATTTGTATCCCGCTTTTCTACTATAATAGCAATCAAAGCGGCTTGCATGCTAAAACAAAACAATACAATACATAATAGCAATACATGACAATATATCTGACCCCCTTAAGAAAGAATTAAACTTAGCACAGTTTAAAAAATATATTGCCTAAGCAGACTGCCAGAAATAGTGCACATTAAATTGAGGCACTGCCCTGGCTCAGTGCTAGGGAATCATGAGAATTGTATTTTTTTCTGAGACACTGAACCTTCTCTGTCAGAGAGCTCTGGTGCCACAATAAATTACAGTTCCCATGATTCCCTAGCACTGAGCCAGGGCAGTGCCTCAATTTAATGTGCACTATTTCTGGCAGTCTGCAAAGGTCCTTAGTCTGTTAAAATCTATTAATAGCAAATGGTCTGTTGGGCAGAGAGGCAGCATAATACAAGGGTAAGGGGTTTGTTTATAGCTAAGGAATTCTATTCAGGAAAGGCTAAGCTAAGGAATTCTATTCAGGAATTCCTTAGCTTATAGCTTATAGCTATAAGGAATTATAGCTAAGGAATTCTATTCAGGAAGAGATCCATCTTGACAGCTTTTTGAAAATTATCTAAGGGCCTCTGCAGACTGGCCCAAAGGGCCAGCCTGGAAGCACAGTTGAGGGCAGCTGCACATCTGCCGCCCCAACCCCACACCAACACCGTTCTGACATGCTGCGCCGAAAAAGGCACTGAAGAGCCATGCGCTAGTTCTTAGGGCGGCCTTTTGCCATCCCTGAAAGGAGCAGCATTTTCCACTCTTTTCAGGGAGGCAAAAGGGGGGATTCGGGCCACGGCATGGGGTTGCTGCAGCCCTGATCCACCACTTCCTGAGATGGCCCAGAACTGCCCATCTGCAGTTCCCTTAAATTGGTAAGTTGATGGATCTCTTCTGGCAAGCCATTCCACAGTCTGGGAGTGGTAGCAGAAAAAAGTGAGTTGCAGTTAATCTGGTCTTTAGAGGTTGCAACAGATTCCTCCCAGAGGACTTGAGGTTGTGGGGTGGACCATATGGAAGCAGGTGATCCCTTAAGTAGGTTGGAGCCAAGCCATATACAGCTTTAAAGGTGATAACCAACACCTTGTTCTGCACCCAGAAACCAATAGGCAGCTAGTGAAGTGATTTCAAAATAGGTGTTATGTGATCACTCTTAGATTTTCCAGTGACCAACCTAGCTGCCATGTTTTGTACTAATTGGAGTTTCTGGACTAGGCACAAGGATAGCCCCATGTAGAGCGCATTGCAGAAATCGAGTTGTGAGGTTACCAGTGCATGTACTAATACTTAAAGCCCTTTATGGGGCTTGCAGGCAGCAGCATGAAGTAGAGCAGGTGGAGTGGTGGAAGAGAGGGTTGTAGGTGCAATTGGAAAGGAAGGAAGCATGGCACCAGAGGAAAGGAAAGCATGCTGGGGGAATGGAAGGAAGGCAGGAGGTTCAGAAGGTGGGTGCAAAGTGCAATAGAAGGAGAAAGGGATGGAAAGCAGCACAGAGAGGTATAAGAGATGAATTACAAGAAACAAAGGAGGAGAAATGGGGAGAAAACACGAGGCAAGGGAAGGAAGAAGTGGCAAGAGAGAGTGAGAAATGCAGTGACAGGGTATAATGAGCAAGAGAAGTAGGCATAAGGTGAGGAAGAAATGGGAGGACCAAGGTGAGGCAAGTAGGAGATGCAAGAACCAAGGGAGGAGAGCACAGCAAAGGTAGAAGATGTGGGTTGGGGAAGAGAGAGAGATGCAGCACAAAATAAGACAGGAAAGCATTGTGACAGGGCAAGAAGAAGGAGCAAGTGGGAAGGTGCAAAGAGAAAGAGAAAGAAATGTGAGGTGCAAAGTGTAAGGGAAAGGAATGTGCTTTTTTATGCTCATCCTTACTTTCTCCTGTATTTTCCCCATGAGTCAGACTGGGAGGGGATCACTCCCCTGATACTTTCCTGGATCTGTATTTTTTTTTTTTTTTTGGCCAAAATTAAAAATATTTTAAAAAAAATTAATAATATTTTTTAAAAAACTGGTGTGAAAAATACTACTACAGTGATCTGCTGGAACTCAGCCTGTGCAGGTAGCTTTGCTGAGAAGTAATGATGACCCAGGATCATATGTTAAATTCAATGACTGAGGCTGCTGTCACACTGCAGAATTAATGCAGTTTGGCATTGCTTTAAATGTCATGACTCCATCTTATGGAATCCTGGCACCAGAGCTTGCTGACAGAGAAAGCTATATATCTCACAAAACTACAAATCCCAGAATTTCACAGCATTGAACCATGGCAGTTAAATTGGTGTCAAACTGCATTAATTCTGCAATATAGATGCAACCTAAGCAGAGATTTCAACTTGGGTCTGTACTAGCACTTTAAATATTTCTTTACACTAGTTCTTGCAGAAGAGTAGTTGCTATTAAAAAGGTATCAAGACTGAAACATAATGTCATCAAAATGCAATTCATGTGTTAAATTTACACATTTATAACACATATCACAATCACAATCATAACGTCAATAAATAATATGCATATTGATAATAATATGCAAATTAGAGGCCCAGATTTGAGAGGCAAGAACACGACAACCCTAATGCTATCACATGCATACACCCGATCTCTCCACTGCAGTAGGAAGGACACCACAAGGAATTTTGTCAAAGACCTTCTCAAGCATTGTTTAAGGGCTGACTTTTATGGGGCACACATCTCATCACTATCAATATAGAGTTGCAGCTTGCAAGTATCTAGTGCTGTTGCTTGACTTCCATTTTGTGGGCCCACCTGTTGTGAAGCCCTGTCACCAGTTCTCTTAAACATACCAGCTGAACTCCTTCCTTGGAATAACATTACATGCCATGGTGGCTGCCATTCATGCCTTGGCAAAAGACAAGTGAGATTACTGTAACACTCTTCATGTGGGATTTGAAAGGCATTGGGAAGCTTTAGATGCTCTGGAATCTAGCAGCTGCAGTCTTGAAGCAGACTATAAGCTCATTTTAGACCCAGCTTTTGGGATCTGAGTAAATAACCAATGTAATTTCAGGCACAAGTTGTTGGTGATAATCTTAAAAGCCATGGACAGTTTAGGCACCTGCAGTCTGAGGTAGTTCCTCCTAGTTATTTATTCTCTTACCCTGAGATCTTGAGGCTTCCTTAATGTCCATCTTTGACAATAATAATTGATAATAACAATGATAATAAGACTACTATCACCACTACTTCCTCTCCATATTATCCTTACCCCTTTTCTTTCTTCTTTTCCCATCCCCATCCCTCTGCTCTTATGAAAAGTAATTTCCAGGAGGTTCCTCTCTAATTCTGTGTCTCCTTCATGTCATGGAGATATTCCTCCATTATTACCTATCTTGTTTAATTGCAGTCATAGTATTTGTTGTTTCTGTGCCTTCAAGTCATTTCCAAATTATGGTGACCATAAGGTTACCTTATCATGGAATTTCATGGGAATTTTTGTTCAGAAGGGGTTTGTCATTGCTATTCTCTGAGGCTGAGAGAGTGTGACTCTCCCAAGGTCACCCAGTGGGTTTCTATGGCCAAGCAGGGATTTCAACCCTTGTCTCCAGAGTCATAGTCCAACATTCAAACCACTGCACCATACCAGACATAGTTATACTATTTGGAGAAAAAAATGTGGTATACTTATAGTTGGTTGCATTTTATGTCTGTATGTGTGGTGACTTTGGCTTCAGGTAGTTTAACTGATATGTAATCATACTACCATGTTGATTTTTTACTGTCATGGTTAGCTATCCTGAGAGTCCTCTGAGTAGAAAAGAGTTGGTCCAACGGCTGATTTCTTTGAGGTTAGGAGCAAATCACTCTTGGTGGGTTTCTATGGAATACAGGTGGAAACTTGGGTTGCCTGACCACCATTATAATGGAGGTGGTAACAGTGGTACTTATAAGAGCAGTGGACCCAGAGCTTTAAAAGTTTTTTGGGGGGGGTATCCTGGGAGGTGTAGTTAAAAAAAGTATCTTTTCTAGGCTTTTTTCAAGTTCCACACGCAAACCCCTGAATTGATCATGTCAGTCCCACCCTTTCAGTGCCTACATAACAACTAGGATACCCAGATCTTTGGCCTGGACTGAGCCACAGTGCCTGACTCGTCTTCTCTGGTCCTCAGAGCAAAGGGGAGGAATCTTAAGGCAAGAGTATTGCCTTGCAAAATTTGTGTATGTGCATGTGTCTCTGTGTATTTTTAATTTGCCATTTTTTTATTTGAGTAGCATACCCTTTGCAACTGTGATTGATGCTTAATGCATCATGTTGCATAACATCACCAGAGGCTGACCTGTGTAACATCTCCTTTGCAACATCATCTGGGGACATCCTTAGGTTTGATCCTGAAATTTCAGGGCCTGGGATTATCTTGATCTGCTAGTTCTAATCACAACTCATACTGGAATAGTTAAGCCAGTATTTCCAGAGTTAATAAAGCCTGGGGCACCATCTAATCAGTACTGTTTCTAAATAACCATGTTCTTTTCTGGAGCTTAGAAAAGTTACAACCCACAGACTTATCCAGCAAGTGGACATGCTGACGGAGTGGGTCTAGAAGTCCAAAAAACTAATTTTTCCAAGCTCTGGTCTTCATCAGAAATTGGTGATAGTGCAGATCACTGCTCTAAAAGTTGTGCACATACAAATTCCTTGGTGCTGCTGACTTAAAAATGTTGGGCCAACCCCTGCAGTATATATATTGGATGAGCATAATTCAGCCGGTGGCACTGGGGAAGTTCTGTGATTAGCAAGTGGCCACATCAATTGTGATAGTGGCACTGAGCCCACACCAGTGGGTATGGGCCTGCCAAGGAATTCATAGCCTTCTCATATCTCATAGACTTCATCTACATCTACACTGTAGACATAATGGAGTTTGACAGCACTGTAACTGCCATGACTCCATCTGATAGAATCCTCAAGTTTGCAGTTTTGTGAGGCAGAGAAAGCTAAAGACCTTGTAAAACTACAAATCCCAGGATTGCATAGGATGGAGCTACAACACTTAAAGTGGTGTCCAACTGCATTATTTCTACAGTGTAGATGTACCCTTAGTATACGTCATAGGATTAATGATGTGCTGTGTGGTGTCTTAAAGCAGGACATATACATTGAAATCATATTGCTCTTATTATCTTGGCTTTTTCCTCAGTTGTAAGATGGATCTCTCTGCTCTTAATTGAAATTCTTTCTGCTACCTTCAACATGCCTACAGATAACTTTTGCCTGAGCTGAGCTTTCCAGATTCATCTCAAATTTAGCTTTAGGGAATATTCAGTCAGCAACTTCAGTGTCAATATGTTTAAAGTATATTTATAGTCTTCACAGCACCTGGGTTCCAAGATGTTTTTCTATGCCACGAAGTACCTACCAGTCTCTTTTTCACAATAGACATGACTTGGGTATAATATTCATCTTTATTACCTTTTCCAAGGTTTCCACATATGTTTGGGAAATATGTTGCTCCCTCGAAGCATAACCAGGACTCGTTTTTCAACAAACTATTCAAATCAGTCTAGCTCATGGAACTCACAGTTTTTAACACATAAATATATCACAGATTGGGTGGGGATGGAAAAAAAACTTTTCCAGTTACTCAAATGTATCTATACTTCATTTAAAATCTTTTCATTCTCAGGAATTCTGCCACCCAATTATGCCATTTTTTAAAAAAAATATCCAATTGGGTTTTTATTTTTATTTATTTTTTGAAAAAAATCAATCTTGGGAACACCAGGCCAGGGCAATGACACTAAGTTCAGAGACCAGTTTTACCTCCTTGACTCACCCCCATGGACTGTACCTTCCCCCCATCAGTGCCCTGAAATAAAGCTAGCTTAGCTTTACTTTACCCAAGCAGCACACAATGAGAAGTCACTACATGAACACCATGTCCTGCCAATCTAGAACAGTTTGCAGGAGGAATAACATGCAAAATTGACTCTAATTGTATATGGAGATTGAAGGAGAGCTTTATCTCATATATATATATATATATATATATATATATATATATATATATATATATGGGGATAGGGGTACAGTGTTACTGAAAATTTCACTGAAACACTGGGAAGACAAAAAAAAAATCTGATTGGGGGGAGGAGGTTTTTGGAAGGTCTTGGAGAAGCCTAGAGGGGTTCCAAAAGCCCCAGGATATGCATGTGGATCATGAGATACAGTTTTGCCCCAGGTACCTTAAGGGAATGAAGAAAAGGAGAAGAAAGTCAAATGATCGACAAGGTCCATCAACATGAGACCATTCTCAAATTTTAAATATTCTTTCTTCTGAAATGAAGGTTAGGTCCCTAAGCAAAATGCACCCAGAAAGTTTTTTTTTTAAATAAAAGGCAAATATCATCTAACAGGGAAATATAATAATTAGATCAAACAAACTAGAGAGACTCCAGATGGGTGAACAAAACCTAATGAACATGCTGGATTAAAAAGTAAAATCCCCATTGATCTTTATAAAATAAATTTCTGCTGTGTGGCTTTTTATTTCTCTTTTTATGTTCCTACACATCTCTGATTAAATCTCTGACTACATCTTAGGTGTGTCGCCTGAGGAGGGTATGTGTGTATACACTTTCAAAGGAAGACTGCACTTTGCAAATCGATAGAGCTAAAGAGAAAGCATGACAAAATGTAGATCAGGATATACCACCAGCAGCAGGCAGCAGCAGAGGCTGATGTCCTGGAAAGCAGGTAGCAGGGCTGATAGCCAAACCGAGGAAAAGTCCAAAACACAGTCCTAGTTACCAATCCAGGGGAGCAGCAAGCAAAGAGTCAAACACAATCTGTAGGTCAAGGGTTGCAGAGATGCCAGGAAACAAGGCAGTCAGAGGTCCAGGGATTCACAGGTCCAAGAGTAGTCAATGGTCCAAAGGTCAAGGATGCCAGGAGTCCAAGATAGTCACGAGTCAAGGGTTCATGGCAAGGAGAGACAGAGGCTTTTGCCAAGAAGCTCAGATAACCTGTGGCAATGAGGCAGCATTTCCACACTTGCTTAAATCCCCAAGCTGCCAGAGTTCAGCTGGGGCTGATCATCTTGATTACCTCGACGTTTTTCATAAAGCCTCCTCGAGCACCTGAGGCCTGCCCTTTCGGCTCGATGCTGACTAAAAGTAGGCACAGTCCCCTGGTCCTCCTCCATGTCCAATGGCTTTATTGAAGGAAGGCTTGGCTGTGAAGCGACCTCCTGAAACACCACAGACTCTGCTGGAGACTTCGCTGCAGACTCAGTGGGAGTTGGAAAATCAGGGCTGCTAGGACCAGGCTGAGGCTGGGTCTCCTCCACCACAAGCTCATGGTCCAGAGGATGTTCTGACTCATCCCCCAAGTCCTCATCCAGGCAGGGCATGACAGCTGAGGTGACAGAAAGGAGGAGATGGCAGGACTCCCTGGGCTGCCCTTCTCCTGCCGAAGCTCACCTCAAAATGGAGGGGAAAGCAAGAAGGACTGCACCTCCTCTTCCTCCTTCCCTTCAGGCTGCTGAGGGAATTATAATCAGCCACCTCTCTGAGGAGCTACCAGGAAGGAAGCAGCTTTTCCTCAGGGCCCCTTGGCATTCGGCTCATCCAGCGGCTCTTCACAGGTTGCAGGAGGGAGACATGTGAGTGAGTCCCCTGCTCTTGCTTTTGTAATGATGGTGGTCTTGGTTGTTGTGGTGGTGGTGGTTTTCTTGGAATGATTTGTTCAGGGGAGGTTTGCCATGGCATTCCACTGTTGAGGCTTAGAGAGTGTGACTTGCCTAAGGTCACCCAATAGGCAGGGAATCGAACCCTTGTCTCCAGAATCCTAGTCCAACACACAAATACTGAGAAATATTACAAAAGGCCGAAAAAACAGGATTGACCTAGGAAAAATTGGGATATGGCAACCCTATTCCTAGACTAAAGCTGCACAGCTTTCATTGAAAAAAGCACACCTTCCCAGCTGACACATTCTGGATACTATTTTTCTGCAACTTTACTTTCCTTCTTCCTCTCCCCCAGCTACAAAATTGCACAGAAATTGACAACTGTGAAAAGAAGTTATAGCTGTAAATCTGGAAGGGGGCAGAGGAAAAGGAAGTTGGCAGAATGATGACAGCTCTTGCTTGAGAGCTACAGTGTGTAGTCAGGATTTCTGTGAAAGCTTGGGAGGGTTGCAGGGGGGGGGAGGTATGAAGTTGGGATATTGTGGACATTTTGTAGTGGACAATCTAGTTTCTGTTTTCCCTACAACTCCCCCCAAGACCCAATCCTTACTTGAGGCTGTGAAAGACATTTCTTTTTCCTACTTCCCCTTACCTAGTTTGACAGCTGAAATATCTTTTCAAAGCCTCTAGTCAGGATTTCTGTAGAAAATGGGGAAAGGAAGTTGCAGATGTTTGGTAATTGACAATCTAATTTCTGTTTTTCCTGCACCTTTACTCCCCTTCCCAGCTTTGTCTTTAACAGAAATTCTGACAAAAGGCTGTGAAAAGACATTTCAGTTTCCTCCCACTTAGTAGCTTGACAATGGAAACATCTTTTCACAGCTTCTTGTCAGCCTCAGGGTTTGGATGTTGTGGGGAAAACAGAAACTAGATTGTATACAACTAGCAAATATTTGCATC